GTTCTGGTATATCAGTATATGATGTAAAAGCCTTTGTATCCCTTGTATTTGTATGCAATTCCTCCAAGTTTGTGGCTTCTTCCATGGCTTCCGTCATGTACTTGCCTCCATGCTAGAGGTAACTAACAAGTTGATAAGGAAGGTGTTATTCTAGGGTACTTTTTTTTCAATAATTTGGGGATGTTTTTGTAATTGTGTAACTTCGGCAAAAGGGGAAAGAAATAGCAAAATCAAAGCAATGGGGATAACTGATAAGAAAATCCGCAATCCTTCGCTAGATGGATGGTCTCAACTCTCGACTCAACCCGTTCTCGAGCTGACTGTGTTCTGCAGTAGCTATGGCCGGAACCTGACGCCAAACGGGAAAAGTCTTCTCCTTTCGATTGTTCAAATGGCGTCTCTGTCTTCGTGCTTCACCATGTCTCCCACTAAGTCCCGACCTATTTCTTCTTCTCCTCGTCCTTCTCTAATCTTCGCGGTCAATTCCTTCGCCAGAGTCCCAACACCCCGTCCGGCGGCGGCGGCACCATTTCCCGGAGTTTCCTACAAATTTCCGAACTTTAAGGCGTCGCGGCTCGTGGTGCGAGCGAGTAGCGTTGATGTGACCACTCCAATTAGGCCAGGCGCCGCCGTGGAGACGGACAAATTGCCGGCGGATGTCAGGAACCGAACGATGGACGCCGTTGATGGGTGCGGAGGCAGGGTTACGTTGGGTGACGTGGCAAGCAGAGCTGGGCTTAAGTTGAACGAAGCTCAAAAGGCTCTGCAGGCTCTTGCTGCTGATACTGATGGCTTTCTGGAGGTAGTACTTGATTTGGCTGTTTCTGTTCTTCTCATTGTCTCTGCATATTCTGTTTTTCTGCAGTAGGGTCTAGTTGTTGGAGCTGTGGTTTTAAGGTTCATTAAGAGAACCATTCCCATTTGATGAGCTATGGTTTTCTTTTCCACCACTGTTATGGCATGCATCTTTTACCTGCTGTTCATTCTCCCGATGTTAGTTGAAGTTCTTGATTTGGCGAGTGCATTCAAGATGGTTCCAAACAGGTTTCAGATGAAGGGGACGTGCTTTATGTTTTCCCAAAGGATTACCGCACAAAGCTTGCTGCCAAGTCGTTTAGATTGAAAATTGAACCTCTGGTTGATAAAACAAAGGTATTCTAGTGGTTGAACTACTTTGCTATTCTGTCCTAGATAGCTATGTTCGAAGAGAATTTTGTGGTAGTTTTGTAAAGTCCACTCCTTTTCCTTTTGAATACAGAGCACGGCTGAGTATCTCATCAGGGTTTCCTTTGGGACAGCATTAGTTGCTTCAGTAGTGGTGGTTTATACTACAATCATACTTCTTCTTTCAAGTAGAAGGTATCGAGAAATTGACCTTTCGAGCTGCGTTTCTTTACAAATAAAGGAAAGCAATATTTGGTGTGTCACTCTGAATCCTTCTTCTGATGGAAAAGCTATGATATGAAATTTGTGATGGCAGTGATGATGACAGACGTGAAAGACGTAGCGGTAGATCTTATGGTTCAGGATTCAATATGTACTTCAATCCTATAGATTTATTCAGGTAATTTCTCGCGATCTTATGTCTGTAGTCCTTTAAGTTTGACAAGTATAAAACCGGAACTGTAAGTCCTGGGACATGATTGTGTCCCAGGGTCAAAGTGTGTCCTAGGGTCAAAGTTTTATCGCTAGCTTTCATTGCCTTCGACCTTAAAACTATATTTAAAACAAGTGGCTGCAAATGGCTTGCGGATATGGAATCTTTGTCTGGATAGAGCTGATGATTGTATGAGGAAGAACTTGACATCAAGAAAGTTTGGAATATCCCTTGTTGCTTTTTCAGGATTTGGGATCCATATTATTACAGGAGGCGGAGAGAACAAGTTGATGTCAATGAGAATATGAATTTCCTTGAATCTGTAAGTGGAGACGTCTTACCATATTAAGTCAATCTATTATAGTGGTCTTCTTTATGATGCTTTTAATAACTTAATTTTCCTATATATTTTTCTCCAGATCTTCTCATTTGTATTTGGTGATGGCGATCCAAATCAAGGACTAGAAGAAGAGAGGTGGAAGTTGGTAATGAACTAATGATTCAGGACTGAATACCTTTGTCTGATTGCACCTTCTTTCTAGGAGCTTTGTTTTATTAGCAGTCTAGAATCTTTCAACACAATATGCCTGTTGCCTTGTCACAGTCAGACTAGTTAGGTTTATTATCATGTTGTGAACCATCTTCCTGCAGTTGGCACTTGTCATTAACTGTGACTATGCCATGCGTGAAAGCCAACATAGGCTTAACATTTTCATAGACTGTATATGCTCTGTTTGTTTGGTTGCCAGTCTAGGTCTTTGCTCAGTTGTTAGAAATCCTTGAATATGTAGCATTTTAGTTCAACTAATGGATAATCTTTGGCACACCTAGTATTCTACTCTACTTCTGCTCAATAAATATAGTATGACAACTTCAATACCTATTAGGCGATCCTGTTGTGCAAACGATTCTGTTCCCTGTTATTAATAGATGAGACTAGATAGAGAATAGAGAGATGCCCACTCGTTTGATGTGGAAAGTTAGTACTTGAGAGCCTATTGCGTCGTATGTGAATTAAAACTTGTCTGGAGATATTAGCAGGTGTCAAATGTATTTTTTAATAGTCGCTGATTTTTTTTTGCCTTTGCAGATCGGGCAATACATTTCCTCCAATGGTGGTGTTGTGACTGCCGAGGAACTTGCTCCCTATCTGGATATACAGACCAAGGATGTGGTATGTTTTCCCATTTCTTTGTCTTCTTGTGATTACCATCCTTTTTTCCAACTTTTTTGTGCTCGACTTACATAATGGAGTGGGCTTCTCCTCAATTCTAAATCTGCTCTGCAGGTTTCTTGTATATTTCAACTTTAAAGATAAATTGTCGGCATTACTTAGTGCCGATGCAAACCTTTCTTGTTTTTTTACGTACCATTTGATCTGTTTTCTGTTACCTTGCATGTTTCTCTTAAATTCTAATGTTGTAGATGTTCTTAATTGGTAAAAGCTTGACTTTTTTTGTGCTCAACTTACATAAAAAGAAGGTCCGAGTCTCGTTTCTAACCCTAGTTCTTATTTTAATCAAGACTACGTTTTTCATTCGATTCAAGTACTGTACTTAATTTTTCATTTCTAACCGAATTCTTATCTTAATCAAGACTAGATTTTCATTGGATCCAAGTACTGGACTAAATTTTCTGTTGTTTGCATCTTAAAGGCGCATAGTTGAAATGTTAAAGGGGCTACTAAATGCAAATGTGTTATGCTTTTGCAAGCCGTTCCCTTTCCCTTTAAATTTATCAAGGAAGTTTACTGTTCTGTTTTTGCACATAACATACTTCCTCTCGTTATTCAATCCAATAACTAGTAGTTGGAGTTGACTAATCCCACTTTGTGATCCTCTGACCTAGTGACAATATTGTCTTATATAACGCTCTTCTGTTCTTTGGTTTCAGAATGATGAATCATATGTCTTACCTGTTCTCCTTAAGTTTGATGGCCAACCAGAAATTGATGAAGAGGTATGGATAGCAAAGAAAGATGCCACATAGTTATATGAGCTTATAAAAGCTGGTTCATTTAGTCTATCTGCATCTCTGCTACTACTAAGGTGATATCTGATATGAACCTTTGCTTATTCAATCCTGTCTAGGGCAATATCGTGTATCGATTTCCCTCACTTCAGCGAACAGCTTCTTCCCAAAGAAGCGGTAGGAAGGAGTACGTGGGAAGAAGTAAAAGATGGACAGATTGGGTTGGAGGAGTTCAGAACTATCTTGAGGAAAAGAAATTGGAATTCAGGTTTTCTTCCACTTGTTTTGAATACCTCCAGCATTTTGTTAGATCTGTAAAGATCAAGCTCCCTGATCCAAAGAATTTTTGTTTGCAGTAAAACCAACGCATCGGAAAGAGCAATGGTCATTGGGTTGGGTGGGCTCAATCTGTTTGGAGTAATTGTTCTTGGGGCCATGATGAAGTATGAATCTCCTTCCCCTTTTTCCTTTTCCCTCTTTTGTGGGAAGTAGTATGTTGTCTTGATATTGGTATTTGGCTCTGTTTTTAGGTCTCCTACTCATCTCTTTGTTCTATTTTGATTGTCAGGGAGATGCCTATTACTCAAGGTGGATGGATTCAATTTGTTAGCTCCATCTTTCCACTACTCCAGGTATATCTGTGATCCATATTCTAAAAAGTCACAAAACTAGCTTTGGTTCCCGATTCAGGTCTTCTCAAGTTCTTGTCTAGTTTTCTGTTGCCTGTTTTGATAGATGGTTACTCTTACAAAATTTTGCAGGTATATGCGGGTTCTTTCTTTGCAATCCCTTTGGTTCGTTGGTTCCTTGTTTCCAAGAGCAATGCTGAAATAGAGAAGAGGAACATATTGAGGAAAGAATTTGCCAAAGTGCTCGAACTGCCGGATCTTTCATTAAGACGAAAGGTATTACTACTTCAATGCATTAGTTGCATCACAAACATCTCCACTTTTGCAATAATATCTAAAGAGTTAGCTTAGGACTGCTTGTATGAAACTGAAAAATCCCATTTGATGGTTTTCAGCAGCTAATTTGTTTGTATGAATTTCTCACTGCAGATTCTTAGTGCTCGGGATATGGCTCAGAAAACAGTGATAGGACAGGATCGCATAGTCTACAGTACCGAAAGAGATATAATCGGGCAAGAGATCGAGGCTGAAGATTGGGAACGGAGGTTCAGAGAGATTGAGAATAAATCAGAGTAGAATGTGTATATTTCCTGGTGATCGACTCTTTCATTTGATTTGAATCTGGGAATTCCACAACCTACAACAACTTTCATGTATATTCATACTCCCATTTTCGTGGGAATAGTCAATAGTCCGTTGCTCAATTACTGTAACCATTGGTACATTCCTACGCAAGAAAGTTAATACACCATTCATGGTTAATACATTCTTCTTTTTGATAACCAAGAGAGATTTATGTTTTTGACAACCATCCTCTGCAGTGCAGTAAAAAAGTGAAACAACAAATGTCAGCACACCATTAACAATTTGTCTCTTCACAACACTTTCAAAATCTCAATTAACAATTTGGTTCTTCACATAACAGGTAGACTTTGTTGACATTCATCAGAACTTGCACCATGGGGCTAAATCTGATCATACAATGTGGCTGCAAAAGGTTGCATGCAGAAGTAACATCAGGCTAGTCCTAGGATTTCGTGTTCTGTACTTATATCCGATGCTGATGATGAATTAATATTCCACTTCCTGGAGATTGTTACATGCTTCCAAGGGCATCATCCGAAGAGGAATTTGGTACACTCTGGATGTACTTTCACCAGCATGCACCTCAGCAATATTAACGGCTTAATTATGCTGCAGTTGAGCTTATAACCAATGAATTCTTTGGTCAAGCAATTCTAAAGACCAGTATACCTGCACAGGATCAGATCCAGGATAAGGATCCTGACAAGAAGATATGAAAGAGATGGAGCAACATAATAAGCTTTCCTTACCCAAAAATATGAGGGCAAAGATCATTGTCAACACCATTTGCACTGAATGTCGGTTTACTTGAACATGAGAAGGCAACACTTGATATCTTACTCCAAGATTGCTACTCAACCGTACCGCATTAGCCTGAAACCTAGAAATTAGAACTTGGAAGCTTTCAAATCCACATCCTAATTGGCCCTGTCATGAAGACATTAATTTAATCATCAGCATCTTAAGATTTCCACTGGATTTCTATCAGACGGTTGTTGATAATGCATGCAGTTAGAGAATAAATCTAATGAAAACAGTCTGCTATGTCTGAGAACTACAGATTATTAAGTTGAACAGTTGATAAATACACCAAACTCACAACATAAATAGTGAGCAGATTGATTCTATGCATTAAAGATGCATTAATAAAAGCTGGTTGGTGCGTGTAAGTGATCCATGCAAAGAAGCATTCTTTCTCACCAAGGTGTAGCACCAGAAATATAGATACTGGATTTCATAATGTTCTCTAGGAAGCACCTAATGCACCATTTTTGTACCAAACTTTAGAAAATTTGTACCTGAACATAAGGGGAATCATCGAAGGGTGTTAGGGAATTGATTTGATCTTCCCCATCTTTCAACCTCTTTGTATGGCTTCTGCTGCCTTTGTTCCCATAAATGGTCCAGAAATTTCTCAAGAATCTCAAATTAACTCTACTGGTTACTGCTCTCAGCATGTTTTCATGGAATATATTTCTGGATGGTGCTGCTTCACTAGCTTCCAGGTCCCACTTCCCCTCAATATTGCAATCCCTATCACTGGAGATCTCTTTATGTGTATCTCCGTTCACAAGACAATGGTGTCCATATACATGTCCATTCATTTGTATCTTCTCGATCTTTTCTTGCTCAACAATCTCATCACCTGTTAAACTCAATGCTGAAGTTGGATCAAGAAACAAAGCCAATCCATCCCTGTCCTGGTCATTCAAATTCACCCACGCGTTTTTCCTCATCGAAGGACCCTCTATTCTTTCCTCGACAAGCTTTATTTGCTCCCTAATTGCAGTAATGAACTGCCTATGCCTAGCTACCACATCCTCCTTCGATTGAGACTTGTCTGACATGGCTGAAGTGTTGACTGCTCTTTCGAAATCTTCCAACTGCCAAGTTGAAAAAGTTAACCATGATCAGCAGTAGCAATGCATCAATGTACCAGCTGATGACGACAACAAAGAGAAACCAGTACCTGCCACTTTGCTGTTTCGAGAATAGTCACGAGATCCCGCCTATGGTAATCTATTGTGGCGAGCAGCCTTGGATCAGAATGATCCTCTTGAAGCAAGGATTGGTCGTGTAGAAGCAGGCGAAACAATGAGTCCATCCTAGAATATAACGAAAACAGTCTTATTGTTTTGGATGCCACAGTATCTATCTAATCTTCCCTTGTCAAAATGCCAAACACAAAGGAAGAAAACAAGGCTCTCTTATCCAAAGTCAAAACACAATCAACAGAAACCTGCACAAATTCTGTTTCTTCTTCTTCTTCATAATTATTGGGGAGCAAAAAGAAATCCCCATTATTTCAACAAATAACCAGAAACAGTTTCCCGAGAATAGTTCAGAATTCAATCAGGAGGGACTCTGCTCCACGCATAAGCTATATAAGCTTCTTTGTTTTGTTTTCCAATAAGACAGGGGGGAAAAGAAATTAAACCCTTTTAAGCAACATTTAAGGAGAATCAGCCCAGCAATCCAACCTGTCGGCAGAATCTTGAACAACTTCGGCTGCTGAGAAGAGAGGATCGGCTTCCCATTGCTGCAAACTGGAAGCCATTTTTGCACCTTCAATGAATCAATCAACACGAACAAAAAAAGTTCCCAACTTGAATCCAATAACTTGCTGCAATAAGCCGCAACGACAAAACCCCAGCAAGCAAGAACCGAGACAAGGGTACTCCAATCTCCCAAGCAAACGAAAAAATGGAATCAGCTCAAAGAGGGTTTAGAGGGAAGACGAACAAGCATACATCTTTATTTCCCTTTTCTTCAAATCGGAAGAAAAGAAAAGAAAAGAAAAGAAACAGAGAGGTCAGAAGGAGGAGGGAGATTGCCGCAAAAGCAAAGGCTGGCGTTCGGTGGTGGGTTTTTGTTGGCTCTTCCTTTTTAGTTTTACTTTTTCAATGGCAGTTGGCAGGTGAGGAGGTACGCAGTCCGGCAGTCGCAATCCCGATACGACGCCGTTTCATCTCAGGCACAGTGAAGGTTTAACCAAAATTCTTGCCAGTTCCAATTCAAAACAATTAGCAGGCAGAAGAACATTACAATGGAGAATTGGAGAGCAATTCTTAACAGTTCTAAACGAAATACTGAACCATCTGGATTTCCTTCTCCTTGAACCCACATCTCTCGTAGAACGCCTTGTTCTCGCTGCTACAATCCAGAATCACCTTGTAGCAACCTTTGGACCGCGCATGGTCGGCGAGAAACTCCACAATCTTCTTCCCCAAGTGCAACCCTCTGGCGCCTGAATCGACGACCACGTCCTCGATGTGTCCGACCTTGCCGCAGTTCCTCAAGAACTTCTTCTCGACGAAAACGCAGCCGGTGGCTACAATCTTCCCCTGCCGTTCATCTTCGATCACGCAGATGAGGTGGTCGTCGCCGTGGGAGCTCAGCTCCTGAAACCTGGCCTCGAAATCCTCGTCGGAGATGGGATCGCAGACGCTGAGCTGTCGCAGGAGATCGATGAATCCTTTTCCTTTGTCTGATAGCTGTAGCTTGCGAACTTGGAAACTCTGCTCAGTAGCCATGGATGATATGTTACTCGCTTCTCCGTGGTTTGATTGATTCGAATGCTATCACTGCAGATCTTAGCCCGGAGGTATGTAGAAGAATGAGTCGAACGATTGGGGATTTTTGAGAATTAAAGGGCGACGAAGTTCCGGTTGGTTAATTGACAAGAATGGCACTCAACTTAATCGTGTTACAAAATGGTCACTTATATTTTTCTATGTCAATCTAACTAATTGAGGGGTCAGATTGTAAACACACATAATTTTGGAGAGCTGGAATTTGGAGGCGGCCTTGATGGCTGGTACTAACAAGAAGGTGAATTTGGATTGAAACATTTGTATCTTTCTGTTGTGTTTAGTATCATAGGGTTGTACTGAATGAATCCCATGGAAATGCTAGTGTTCATTGCAAGAAAAGCCATTGTTACGCAAAGTAGATTTTCGTCGATGTTTCCTCATCGTGCCCATTCGATTCATGATCTCCATATTAATCTCAAGTTGAAGATGATGAAAAGTGGCATATGTCCTTTGTCATGCCTTCAAAGTATGGCTCCAGTTTGCCATTGCCTAAAGTTCAAACCGTGCAGATTATAGAGGTTCCAAAGCGAGTTGTATCAGCTGTTGCTTTCTCAGTTTTGCAGTTTCAGCATGCCCTGAAAATTCTAACCTGTCATTTTTGTTGTGCTACCTAATACTGATCTAATTCTGCTCTCTGCCTGTTTTTGCAAATAAGGGTTCGTCACAGTCTCAGAGACGAAGTAAGTTAAACAAAGGGAAGTTACACAAACAATAACCCTAATCAGGTGTTTGATGCGAAAATTAGGTACTGCTTGATTCCTGCCGTAAGAAACACGTTAACTACTGTACTGAAGTAAACAACTACATCACAAATCAGTTCATAAGTCATTCATTGCTGTTGAGGCCAGGTACAGGTAGACCGCAAAAACCAGACCAGTTAGCATCGGTTATCTGATTCAACCACAAATCCAGTCCGGTCCGGTTATCGTAACAGAGTAAACTGCAATAATAACACAGTGGATCATAAAACAGAGTAAATTGACTTGGCAAGGCCAGAGTCAGTCAACCACTAGAGGTATCGTAATTGGTTAATTCTTGCGCGTGGGTGGAGTTAAAATCCTGTCCACATGACCCATTTCTCCTAACCCTACGGCACATCGTAGGCAGAAAAAAAGGGGAGAGGTAAATGTGAAGAGACTCGGGTCTGTTATGTTTAACAAGGCAAGTAGTCGTCCATACGTTTTCCTTTGTGGGAAGTTGATGTACAGAGGAGAGCACTAACCATTGTTTGGAGCAACATATATGCTTGAATTGGTCATTCAGCTCTCCTTCAGTTTTCATATATGGATTTTATTTATGTTTTATGGTATTTTTGTTTTATTTTTTTGTGTGGATATTTGAGTTTATTTTCGAGGTTTTTGGAAGTTATTTGTTTGGCATTTGAGCATTGATGGTTAACTATGAGTAGATTAAGAGATTCAGTTGAAAAAGAAACATATAATTCGCCCAATTCTCATAATCTACTCATAATTATGAGTAGATTCTGGTTAAACTTATCGATTCGTAAACTGTGGACTGAATTAGTAAGTTTAACCAAAATCAGAAATCGTGAAATCTAATCCCTCTCTCTTCTCTACTCTATTCGACCGATCCCCTTCCCCCCCCCTTCTCGTCTCTTTTTCCTTCGGCCCTAGCCGGACTCCCCCTCCCCTCTTTCTTCTTTTCAAAGCTTTCTTCATTCAATCGCTAATTCTATTCGCAAAATTTCTCAAATCCTTAATATTCAAATCGATTCTCAATTCTTTGACTCGATTACCGACACGGTAACAGATCATGTTTCCATCCTTAAACCAGTTTCCCCAAATCTCGAATATTCAAATCGATTCTCTATTCTTTGACTCGATTACCGACACGGTAGATCCTCTTTCCATCATTATACTCAGCTGATCAGATCCACCATATGACTGCTTCCCATCAGTGCAGGACCTAGTTTCATTAATTAGAACAGAAACGGCACTAACTGCCATAGTGGCCCATACCACTGCTCATGGCATTAGTAAACTCTGGAATCATTGATTCTATCCACACAAAAAAACATTGTTGTAATAATGGCCATTACCTTATAAGAAAGAAGAGCATTTCTGGGTTTATATTAACACCTTCCCTTGCTGATTTGCTTGTGGGGATTTTCGCACAGACCAATCCAATCACCAGTTCTGCAAGCAGCTAATGAACATCAATGGAGTAGGGATCAGAAGCAGATCAAAGCTTGTTTGCTGAGTTTCCATATTTGTAGATTTGAAGGATACAGTTTGGTTGGTAGCTCTGGAATACATTCAAGGACACTATTTTACATCTTCCAGGACCAGGAGTGTGTCTCCACTGTGCTGGAGCAGTAAAATTATACCCTTTTTTCTTCTCCATAAACTACTATTCTACATATTACATCTAATCCAGAAGAACATCAGCTTAAACTTTTTCCCCCCATTAAGTACTAAGCAATTTCAGGTATACTTTCCAGTACAGGCTTCCAATTTTTCTGCCATTCTTCCTCCTCCTGCTGCTGTTGATCATTTTCTCCAACATCAACCTTCACCAATCTCTGCTGATCCTGTAGATGAGAAACCATGTCACCAACAGAAACCCCACCTTTCTTCAGCAATTCCTCCAGTTCCTGCTTGGTGATCACCAGCTTTATCCTCACCACTCCACCACCTTTAACATCAGATTCATCATGGTGATGTTCTTCTACCTTCTTATTCTGGCTACTCTCTTTCTCTCCTCCTTCTGGAACTGCAAACCTCACTTTCTTCTTCTGCTTGACAACTAGTTTTTCTGGTGATGCTGGTACTGGAGGCGGCAGAGGGACGAGATAATACAAGCGACCACCCACGAGCTTGGCCTCCGGCAGCAAATTCTGCTGCTGCTGCTGTTGCTGAAGTGATGAATATGAATGATCACAGACGAATTGGCCCGGGAAATCGGACATGACTTGCTGGACTATGGTTGGTGATGTGTACTCCAGGATTTTCCCATCTGGTCTCATCACCTTCACCACTTTCTCTTCAACAACCATGCAATTCCCCATGGCTTTCTATAGTTCTTGGCTTCTCAGGGAGAGGAGGAATTCAATTCAATTGTGTCAAGAGACTGCAGAGTGTTTGTGTACTTATAAGAAGTGGGTTCTGAGGGTGACCTCGAGATGGCCTACATATTACAAGAAATGCCACCCACCACCACCACACCATATATTATTTTCATGTGGAGCCAGTCCATGATGTGGGTTGAGATTTTTTTGTTTCTGCTTTACTAGTTTGGGACGGATGGTAAAGCAAGAATGTCGGAATGCAACACAAATTGAAATTTTGTTCCTCACTTATTATTTTATTTTTAGCATGCTGATGGGGTGGGATGAGGAAGTACTTCAATACTCATATTCGTTTCGTATTAAATGTATGTCATGTCGAACAATACCTATGTGGATATGGAACGTGAACTATAATCACTTGAGATCAAGAGAGGTCTCAAACCCCATCTTAAGTCTCGGAACAATCACCAAAAATAGGAATATTCATGCAACATCAGTTAGTAGGCAATAGTGGCTAGTCTCTGCTCGTTGTTGGTTGCCTGCTTCCTTTCGCTTCCTTTCGCTTACTTCGTACTCGGACTACCTTAGCTAAATTGTTCTCTTTGATATTGGTGATAGGTCGGTCCACACATACTCGCATGTTACCCTTCATAAACTAAAAGGTAAATAGATCATAATATTAAGTCTAATTAGATGAAATATGCCATCTTACCGCTTTTTACAAAATAAGCAAAACGAACATAACAGAGAAACCAAGTTGCAAAATGGACAACAACTATACGTGGTAGTTCGTATGCAACCAAACTATCGATTAAAAAGACTGTTTTGTTTCTAAGCGAGCATCATCAACAACAACCACCAATTGAGTAGCATCTTTCTACGTAGCATGTCGGATGACCATATGTGAGTCGCCACAAAAAGCAACAACAAAAAATTATGCTTAGACACCACTTCATATCATCACGAAGAGCAAGTAATTCAACAATAAAAGCATACGAAATACAATCATAAAATTTCCATAAGAAAATGAGATTGATCCATCACTTGAGAAACCAACAGACTCGGTTAGAAATATTATGCTAAATTTGAATTACAACAAATAACAGCGTTAGAAATATTAAATAATATTTAGTGTGTCATTATGACTGTAATAATTAACACTAAGAATATAATTAGCATACGATGTTGTAAAAGTAATAATAAACAAAATCAATCATTACTTCTAAATTGTGGTTTAATATATATTAATTAGCTAGCGTGATCGAACTGTGGAGCCAGCCATCGGATCTAAGTTGCTTTTTCACCTTTTTCCCACTTGATCATGCTGCTGTCTCTTGCCAATTACCCATTAATGAGCCTTTTTGGTGTTCGTTGCATTTGGACGGTCTGTGTTAATAAGTGGATTATCACCCATCGTCAACCTATCTATCTACCTCCCCATTTTCGTGTATTTATTTTTTCCTTTTTACACTCCATTTTTCACAATATTCATTCCTCGCTTGTGCATTTTTAGATGAATTACACTTTGACTATGGAATGAGTCCGGATCTGGTGACTAAGGGGTGCTTAGTCAAGTGGCTAAACTTCCCTCAGCCCTTAGATTAGAATGGGTAGATCTAATGGTCCAGATGAAAGAAGGGTTAGTAATTAATCAGAGGGGTAGTTTTGGCATTTAAAAAAATAATAAAATCCTGTTTTCTATTTTATTTATTTTTTCCTTTTTCCCCTCTCCAATTCTCTCTTCCTTTCCCGTTGTGTTGTCCAGAGAGAGAGACGGTGAAGGATGAGAGAGAACGAAATGCCGGTTGTGGACAGAGGTTGCGGAGATGGAGAGAGAGATGGCGCGGTGGAGAGAGGCAATTTTCCAACGAAGGGCGAGGCAATTTTCTCCGGCGAACGGCGAGGCGATTCTCCAGCGAAGGGCAAGGCGATTCTCCAGCAACGGCGAGCCGATTTCTTCCCGACGAAGGCCAAGCGATTTTCTCTCGGCGATCTGCGAGGCGATTCTCTAGCGGACGCCGCTACGCTGGAGGAGAGAGAGGCGGCAGCCTTGGAGAGAGAAAGTAGATCTAGTCGTCGGAAAACAGAGGAGAGAGAGACGATGGTGAGGAGAGAGAGGCGGCGGAGAGAGAGTGTCGGCGACAATGGAGGAGAGAGAGAGAGGTGGCGATGACAGTAGAGAGAGTCGGCGGCGGCGGCAGCGGCGGTGGAGAGACATCGTATACGTCGTCTGAAGGAAGAACAGTGATTTGTATAGTTTGTATGTTTTGTAACATTAGTTTGTATTGTTAGTATTTTTGTACAAAATGTCAGTATGATTTGTATAGTTTGTATGTTTTGTAATATTAATTTGTATACTTTATATGTATTGATTTGTGCTGCAAATCAAGTCGCTTTGTATTGTAAGTACTAATAATTTGTATACTTTATATGTATTGATTTGTGATGCAAAAAACATTACAAACATGGTTGACAAAAATGACAAACATGTGGACAAAAATAACAAACAATACAAAAGAAACCAACAAACATTACAAAAGAAACCGACAAACAGTACAAAGCATACTACACGTACAGAATATCACTACGTACACTACAGATTGGTAAACTTGTATTACAAACAAATGAATACAAAGTATACAAATCATAACATAAAAGTATACAAACTTGAATAACAAAAGTTACAAATTACAATATATACAAAATAGTCATACAAAGATTACAAACAATACAAAAGAAACCAACAAACATTACAAAATAACAAACATTACAAACATTACAAAAGAAACCGACAAACAGTACAAAGCATACTACACGTACAGAATATCACTACTTACACTACAGATTGGTAAACTTGTATTACAAACAAATGAATACAAAGTATACAAATCATAACATAAAAGTATACAAACTACAGCAACAAAAATTACAAATTACAATATATACAAAATAGTCATACAAAGATTACAAACAATACAAAAGAAACCAACAAACATTACAAAATAACAAACATTACAAACATTACAAAAGAAACTGACAAACAGTACAAAGCATACTACACGTACAGAATAACACTACTTACAATACAGATTGGTAAACTTGTACAAAGCATACTAACCGTACAAAAATGATAAACATGGTGCACAAAAATAACAAAGTTTACAAACATTATAAAAAAAACCGACAAACATTACAAAATAACAAAGCATACAAACATTACAAAATAACCCGACAAACAGTACAAAGCATACTAATCGTACAAAATATCACAAAAAATGACAAACAATACAAACTGAATCTATACAAACATTACAAAATAGGTAAGCAAACATCACAAATCCAACACTATCGCCGGAAAATTTCCTCCGGTCGCTGGAAAAATATCATCCGGTCAGTAGAAAATCTCTCTCTCTCTCTCTCTCTCTCTCTGAAATCCCCTGGGCGGCCATTAAAAAATAAGGCAAAATACAATTTCATAGCCATAACTATCCACTTTATAACAATAATAGCCAAATTCTGAAAAATACACAGATATAGCCAGATTTTAAAAATTAGTTTGACAAATTTAGACATTTCTGTTAAAAATTTTAACTCCGTTAACTCTTTGATGATGTGGACATACACGTCATCAAATGTGAACTACTTATCAGATTCACATCACCTACGTGTCTGCCACCTCAGTTTAAATTATTATCTAGTTTTTTTTTTTCAATTCTCCTTTCCCCTTCCTTCCACACGAGATCTAAAACGTAGACCGTCGGCCGTCACTCGCCAACCTCCTACCGTCGATAACAATTCCGGTTATAGAATCCCTCGTCCTCTCCTTCTTCTCTCCCGACGACCTCCCGAGTTCCCACTACCCGGAGCTGCTGTGAAAAGTAGCTTCTGCCGCAAAACCATCACATCTCTTCCTACCATTTTCAGATCAAACCCTCCAGAAAACATAGTCCCCTGTTCTGACCCTTTCTCGTTTCCATATTCACAAACCTAATCTCGACGACAATGTCGAACACCTGATTTCGTCAAAGAAAACCCATAATCAAAACCCCAAATTAACAATCATGTTTTCGTTGCCCATCCTCCCTATCTCCCCCTTTCCTGCAACAAAAATCTCAAAACCCATAAATCCCCAACTCTCCAGATCGACCTTCCTTCCTCGATCTGTGAGTCCGAGACAGAGGAGACGGCGAGAAAGCCAAGAAGCCCCAATGATATCGTCGTTCGCAGTGGTGCTACCCAGATCCATTCAGCATCGTCGGAAGCCGCCACGCCGCACCAGAGCAGAGACAAATCCACAAATCAAAATCTGTCATGGCTGAGGCAAGAAGATGAGGGAAGAGGACGAGCGGTTGTCTTCGCCTCCATGGAGATGATGCATGGCTACCTTTGTCGAAGCCGGAACAGAGGTAGAGAAGTGAATCGGGAGGACGAGCGGGGCCAAATTGAGGGGTGAATCGACGGATGGGTGGATTGCCGGATGAGTGTGTTCGTTGATTGAGTGGTGCCTTTGATCTGGAGTGGTGGGGAGGGGTTTCAGGGAGAAGACCGGGATGGATATAGGGTAGATGGAAAGAGATATTTTTTTGTTTGAATTATTAGCTTCCAATTAGCTACACCAGAGACGGAAAGAAGATGTGGGGAGGGGTTTCAACGACTTTTCAATTTCCTTTTTTATTATTTTATTTTAAATATAATTATAATAATAACTAAATAAGAAAGGAAACTTTTCCACTTGGAATTAATTTTAACGAAAAATGGCCACGTCACTATAAAACGTTAGTACAGTCAGCATATATGACGTTGCCGTCAAATTTATGGACGGAATGGCTATATCTGTGTATTTCTCAAAACTTGGCTATTATTGTCACAAAGTGGATAGTTATGGCTATGGAAGTGTATTTTGCCAAAAAATAATGGCGCGGAGCTCTCTCTGAATCCCCTGGACAAAATAATGGCGCATGAGGCATGAGGGAGAGAAATCTCCTGGGCGGCCATTAAAA